GACTGCTCCAAATGCCATACTGTCCCCCCTTCCCTAGTATCGCCCTGCAGATCTTTCAACCATGTGGGTCACAAGAAAAATCAAAGGTGTTTTAATAGAACATTATCATAAAGAGGAAATCCCTTTTTGAAAACTGCAAGGTATCTTATAATAGACCTGCTGAAAATGATATGCAAGTAAACAGAATACAATGGCTTATCATTCTGAAACTGCCTATTTCAGTAATGACATGACCTCCATGCTTTATGCCAAAGAAAACCTTGACTATGTTTATTCTGTCAAGATAGAGCTGGTAGACTTCAATGGCAATATATCATCATGTAAACAACTAGTCCAAGCTCTATCTTGCTGAATGTACACAGTGGTTGTGTGTTGACCTTTGCCAGAGTGCGAAGGGCAGAGACCACAGCTTTCATATATGCTATTCTATTCTGAACAATTACCATATAATCTTTTGTGTTAACACCTTTAGGACTTGGTAGTAAAAGTATTACTTTAATATCCAAAAATCAGCAGATCATTTTTGCAGAACTTTTTGTGATATTATTTGCATAGCATATCCTTCTATAGTATTCTTAACTGAGGTTAGGCTGGTGCATTGGTATGTAAAAAAAAAAAAAAAAATCACTTCTACCTATGAGTTGTTTTTTAAATATGACTACTTTTGTGGTGGATTCCTATCAGGAAGGCTTAACGATTTTATCTTAATTTAAAGTCATGTAAAAATATAGCTACAGGAATTACAAATTAAGTTAATTATTTTTTATGATGCCATCATTTATAGACAGTTGACTAATATTTTTAACTCTTTTACAGATTCAGAAGGCAGCTTTAGCTACACCAATGTAGAAAAATGGATTCAAAAGCCAGTGTAGAAGACGACTCAGTGCCTGTTACACAAGACACCGTAGATGATGAAGACAACTTAAGTGATATGGATTCACATACAGGGAGTGAACGCGATGCAGTATCAGAAGCAGGATCAGAAACGCCATCAGTATCTGATAGATCAAGCCTCCGTAATTCAAGATCTGCTTCAAATACGCCAACTAATACTAGGTCTACCAGGAGCAGGGACAACCCAGACTTTGTAGCAAAGCAGAAATCTTTTATGGCAAAGGTACAAGCAGCAACTACAGGAATTGATAGTCCTATGATGCGACCAGACACACCGGGCAAAAGAAAGAGAGATAACAGCGCCTCGTCTTCCCAAGGCTCAACAAAGAAGAGAAAATATGGAAAGAATGATAACAATGGACAGGTAAGATTGTTTTTAAAGTTAAGAATAGTTTTGATATACTGTCTCCAAATAATAACCAGTTTAAAAAGTAGTTAAGTTTAAACTTCACTAGTCCAGTAGCTTTGGTACTATATTGTAGCCAGATATGACATCCTCATCCCATGTTGCTCATGTCTACCTCAGCTTAGTTAAGGTGGTTGGCTCTCTTACATTAGTAACATGATATTTTGCTCAGTAATCAGTAGTATAGTACATTTTGCATTTAGAATTAACCCACTGCTACCAGGTATTTGTACTGGCAACTGTAATTTTCTTTTGTGAATTTTGTTTGCACACAGATGACCCACCAAGTTCATCAGCCTGAGTTCCCCTTTCCTTGATTTTTTTTTTTTTTTTTTTTTTTTCTGCTGCTATTAATATCAATATTGATAACATTATTAAAGTTATAGACATTATTATAGTGTCATTAATGATATTGATAATAATGAAAAAAATAATAATATGTTTAAGGAAAAGTGTAAACAGGTGAGAAAGGCTGGACTAATAATGGATTTCTTGGCAATTAAGCACTTGTTGAGCCATCTATGTTCGCAGACAACTGATAAACAAAAAAATACACAGTGGACATGGCATGTATTTTTGCAATTCCAGCAATCAATGGGTTAATCTTTGCTAGTTCAGAAAATCCACAGCCTGTCTGTTTCCAAATTTGTTGAACTGGTTTCATACTTGTTAAACAGTTGAGGTTCAACATTTATATAGGGTTGAATACTTCCCAAATGGTCAGATATTTTTTTCTTAACTCAGTATCCATATTCTCTCATCATTGATTTTCTTTCAACAAATCTAATTTTTCTAACCTTTATTATTATTATTATTTATTTATTTTTTTTTTTTAAGTTACATTCCTTCTCCTCTGCTATCTTATTACTTCAACTTGTTATTAATTATCGTCCTGCTATATTCCCTCGTATAATCCCATTTTGCATACTGTTAATTCATGTTACAATTTTCCCTTTTTCGTAGATGCATTAACCCTTTCCCTCTCCCCCTTAATCTTGATTCTAGTGCTTATCTTCCCATCCTTCTTATGTCTAACTCTCTCTCTTTCCTTTTTTATTTCACTATCTATCTCTGATTCTCTCCCTTCTTTTTTCATCACTCCTTTGTGTATTTGTTCTTTTTTTCTTTATCTTATGCATATATTTTTGTATATCTTCATTTCCCTCCTCCTTTATCTCTCAATCTTTACTGTTGCCT